CGTCCAATAGTGAGTCAGATCGATTCGCCAACTTACAGATTGGCTCAACACTTAGCAAAAGTACTATCACCACTCAGAGGACATATAAGAGCACACACTAAGGATTCATACCATTTTGTCAGTGAGATAAAAGACCTATGTCTTACTGACAATGAAACTATGGTCAGTTTTGATGTTCAGTCTCTATTTACATGCCTACCTGTTGAAGACTGCATCTCAATTATAACTAGGAAACTAGAGGAAAACAACATGCCAGCAGAATATGCAGTATTACTCAGACATTGCCTTACATCTGGCTACCTATTGTGGAAGGAACAGTTTTACAAGCAAGTAGATGGTGTTGCGATGGGCTCACCGGTATCTCCCATTGTCGCCGATATTTTCATGGAGGACTTTGAGGAGAAAGCCCTGCTTACTGCACCAGTAACTCCAAGTTTCTACAAGCGGTACGTAGACGATACTTTCACAATTTTACCATCAGACAAAGTAACTGCATTTTTAGAACATCTTAATTCCATAAACTCTAAAATTCAATTTACTATGGAGTTAGAGGCAAATAATTCTTTAGCTTTCCTAGATGTGTTAGTCATTCGAAATCCTAATAACACCGTAGGTCACACTGTGTATAGAAAAAAGACCCATACAAACCGATACTTAAACGGTGAATCCCACCATCACCCTTCACAGTTAGCTACCGTGGGCAAATCTTTGTTGCAGAGAGCACGAGGGATCTGTGACAGCAAACACCTGGCCGCCGAGCTTCAGCACGTCAAGCAGGTTCTGCACGACAACAAGCTTCGGGTTCCGCGCCTACGTCACAGTGACCGAGTGAAGCCGGCCACAGTCGAGCGTGTGCCTGCTGTACTACCATATGTCAGAGGTGTCACAGACAAGATTGGCTACATCTTGAAGCGAGCTTCTATTAGAACATTCTTCAAGCCGCCGAAGAAGATTAGTCAGTTCTTACCATCCGTCAAGTGCAATATTCCTCTACAAGATGCAGGAGTATACAAGCTTGATTGTGAGTGTGGTCTCTCATATATAGGGCAAACAAAACGATCAATAAAAACCCGCGTAAAAGAACACATAGCTGACGTGAAGCACCAACGTTCCGGGAAGTCTGCAGTTTGTGATCATATCCTAGACGTCATTACATTAGATTTGATAAACCACAAGTACTCGCGAAAGAACATCGATTCCTGCCAAGGATGATACGTGAGGCTATTGAAATTAAAAAACATCCTAATTTCAATAGAGAGGGAGGCTGGGTACTACCACCTGCTTGGGATCCTGTAATTCATAAAATTAAAACTAAATGATGAGTCGCTCGCGTCCGTAGGCTTCGACCACCTAATCCTAGGCCCACCCTACACGTGTCCCCCGGGTGGTGCTAAACGAGCGACAAAGCCGAAAGAACTGACTCGGCTCCTCGCCGTGTGGTAGCGGCGTAAAAAAGAAAAAAAAATACCACAACTTACTTTCGCACCATGAGGCAAAATATTAAAGAAATGGCCCCGAGTTCCCGGCGCCCCTTTAATGGGGCAGGGGTGCGAAGAATCTCCGGGAGGAAAACCGGCGACGAGGTTCGCCACCCGTCACGTTCTGTCCCCCGGAGGGGCGAAAAGTGGATTGCGGAAGCCCGTCTGGCTACATTGAACGTATGTGGAGGAATGAATGATAAGATGGATGAAGTATGCGATATGATGTATGATAGAGGAATAGACGTGTTATGTGTGAATGAGACGAAACGGAAGGGAAAGGATGCCACTACACATGGCATGTATACCGCGTACTGGTCTGGTGTAGACGAGACCGAGCGGGCATGCCAGGGAGTCGGTATCATCCTTTCAGAAAGAATGGGTCATTGTGTAAAAGAGTATGAATGTGTAAGCCCGAGACTGCTATGGATACGAATGAAAGTGGGCTTAAAGAAGTTGTTTGTTTTAGGGGTCTACGCCCCAGACATGTCTAAGCCCACTTATATCCGAGAGCAGTTTTGGGAGTTGGTAAGGATGGTGCTAATGAAATGCAAGGTTAATGAAAATATTGTGATATTAGGCGATTTTAATGGAAGGGTTGGGGTGAGGAGGCTTGGTTATGAAAGGATATTGGGAACGTTTGGTGATGAAAGTATAAATGAGAATGGTGAAAGCCTTCTCGCCGTATGCGTGGAAAAGGATCTTGTTGTGACGAACACTTTGTTTCGTCATAAGAAGATTCACACGTATACATGGGAAAGAGGTGATGATAGAAGTATGATAGATTTCATAATTGTTGATGAAAGAATGAGGAGCGCGGTGGTAGATACAAGGGTTTACCGGGGCTCTAACGTAGGGACGGATCATTACTTGGTCTTATGCCGAATTAATGGTCTTTTCAGACGTTGGAGGCATCGGACATCTGTGTCTACCACAGCGTTACAGCGTATAAAAACAGAGAGGCTACAAGATGAAGGTGTGAAAGAGAAGTTCAAATGTAGATTGAGAGAAAATATAAGTGGTATGGCTGAATTGTGTATGAATGATTTAGACTTGGAGACTGTGTGGTATAATGTCAAGAAAGGTTTAGTGGATGCAGCTACCGAAGTATGTGGTGTAAGCAAGAGAACAAATGAAAGGAAAAATAACACGTTATGGTGGGATGATGAGGTACGGATGGAAGTTGAAGCAAAGAAGAAAGCATGGCTAGATTTACTAGCAACCAAGGCTAGTAATTCTAGCAGTATGAATGATGATATTGAAAGGAAAAAGGCGGTTTTTAGACACCTAAATAAGAGAGTAAAAGAAGTAGTTGAAAGGAAAAAGCAAGAAAGAACGGATAAGAATGATAGAAGAATATCGGATAACTTCCAGGAAAACATTAAAATGTTCTGGAAACTCGTAAGAACTACCAGGGGACATTCACAACAGCCTAGAATGAATGCTATACGAGACCAGAATGGCTGTATTCTGAATGACGAAGTTTTGAGTTTAAGGAGATGGAAGGAATACTTTGAAAGCGTGTTTATGAGTGATGAGACGTTTGAATTAAATGAAATAGAAATTCCGAAAGAAGAGGAAATAGATAGAGATATAAGTATAGATGAAATAATGAAAGCAATGAAAAGTATGAAAGTAGGTAAGGCAGCTGGTTATGATAGAGTATCTCTCGAAATGCTAAGGGCTGGAGAAGGAGTGGTGGCAGACCTGCTGTGCACCTTGTTTAATTTATGTTGGGAACTTAAGCGGGTACCGGGAGACTGGTGCAAAGCCGTGATAGTCCCAATATATAAGGGAAAAGGATCACAGCAGGACTGTAAAAACTACCGTGGTATCAGCCTTCTTAGCATTGTGGGAAAACTGTATGCTAAGGTACTAATTGAAAGAGTTATGAAAGAAACTGACGGAAAAATTTGGGATGTGCAAGCGGGATTTAGAAAGGGAATGGGATGTACGGATCAGGTCTTTTCCATGCGCATGATCGCCGAGAAGTTTTTGGCCAAAAACCAAAAAGTTTTTTGTGCGTTCATGGACTTGGAGAAGGCTTATGACAGAGTGGACAGGGATGTGTTATGGCAAACACTGAACTCATTTGGGTTGAGCGCTGGTCTGATACAGGCATTGAAGTCTCTATATAGGGACTCTAGTGCTTGTGTCAGGATCAACGGGGCCTACTCGGACTGGTTTGACATCCATAAAGGTGTCAGACAGGGCTGTGTGGCTTCCCCGTGGTTGTTCAACCTGTTTATGGACAGTTGTTTGGAAAATTTGAAAGTAGAAGAATGCGGGTTAAGAATGGGTGAGTTAACCGTCAAATGCCTTTTGTACGCCGATGATCAAGTCATACTTGCGTCGTCGGCAGCCGAGTTGCAAATGATGGTTACATTAATGAACAGGACATTAAAAGAAAAGGGAATGAAAGTGAACGCAAGTAAGACGAAAGTTATGGTTTTTGAAAGAGAAGAAAGTAAAACGATATGTGAAATAAGAATAGAAGGGGAGTTGGTAGAGCAAGTAGATGAGTTTGTATATTTGGGATGTGTGTTTAGCAGGGATGGTAGATATGATAAGGATATAGAACGACGAGTGAATGCAGGAAATAGAGTGAATGGGGCTCTACACTCTATTGTGAAAAGTCAGAATGTGTCCAAAAAGGCACGTATGGCAATTCACAATGCTGTGTTAGTACCTATTTTAATGTATGGTAGTGAAAGTTGGGTGTGGCAGAAGAAGCATGAGAGTAGAATAAATGCTGTAGAAATGCGGTCATTAAGGAGTATGTTAGGGATGAAGCTGAATGACAGAGTGAGAAATTGTTTAATAAGAGAAGAGTGTGGTTTGCAAGATGATGTTGTGACCAGGATTAAGAAAGGAATGCTTCGGTGGTTTGGCCATGTAGAAAGAATGAATGAGGAAAGAGTGACAAAGCAAATTTATGTTGCAGAGGTGAACGGCATAGTCGGGAAGGGTCGCCCTAGGCGAAAGTTTATCGACCAAATTGGCGATATATTAAAAATGGGCCAAATCAAGAGTACCTTTAACCGACGAGCGTGTATGCGTAGGTATATGGATGTGGAGGAAGCGAGAGAGGTGTGTCAGGATCGTGCCAAATGGAAGTCCATAATCTCTGCCTACCCCTCTGGGTGACAGGCGTGAGTGTTTATGTATGTATGTATGTATAAAACTAAACCCAAGCATACCACTGTAAGACTTCAAGACACAGTTAGTTCATTCTGCGTAGATCGGACCAAAATTAATAATTAAAAAGCTGAAGGTACTCCGGGTTAACTTTGACATCGGGACGTCAATCACCTCAGTCCCCCGTGACCACGGTTGCTGGAAAGCAACCGAAACGTCGGGAATATAAAATAAGTAAATTAAACGCGATAAAATCCGTAAAAATAGTTTTATTCAACACTCGAAAGGTAAATCTAACACTATTAAAATCCATATAGGTATTGGGTAGCAATTGCGTAAGTATGAGTAAACCATAAATAAAAACAATAAGAAAGGGCAACTGACCCGTGTAGATCCCGTTGAAAGTAGTCTTCACTCCGGAACCATTGGAGACGACAGAGCGCGCCAGCGAACCGCCGCTGGGATACGCCTGCACGAAGGAATTAAACACGTTCATTACACCCAGCGCGATCATCTCCTGGGTGGCGTCGATGGTGCGCCCGTCCGAGAACGCCTTGCAGATCGCGATGTCCTCCAACAGCACGATTAGGGGGATTACTAGCACACCGGAGCCCAGCTCCGACACCATCTCCAAGAAGTCAGCCGTGCTGTTGTCCGCGCGTACATAACTGAAGGGCGGCAGCTGCGGCATCGGTACTCCCGACGGAATAGCACCTGCGTTTCATTAATTCGTTACACTTCGCACAGGAACTTACGCTTAGAAACGGATATCGAAGTTTCATTTGCTGCAGCTATATAGCTATAGACCATGCTTTTACAGAATACCAGAGTAAAATAGCAGCTTAATGCTGCTGTGTTTCCTTGAGAGTGTAGAGAACCCTTAATATTGGAAATGAAGCATTCCGTCTTAGTCCTTAGTCCTCAGGGATGGCATGATCTGTATTTTAATTCTTAATCAAATATAGATGTAGATGTATCCACAGTATCCACTTACGATCAGGTAGACTTTTGCTCGTTGGGCACCCTTATTCTATAAAAAAATCGAAGCAAGCACGTGCAATCCACTACTGCTACTTCTACTTGTGCTAGATTACAAACGATTGAGCACCGTTACTAACCGCCTCTTACGTTATCGGCTGACGTGAGCATTAAAAAGAAAAGCGTTTATCAAGTAACACATCACAAAGCGTACACAGTGAACAACGAATAAGTTTGATATACAACGATACTAACCCATGAGTCGTACCGGAGAGGAGCCGTGCATTGACACGAACCAGAATCCGAGCGACCCGGTGACCACCACCACGATGGCATTGCGACATGTGCCCACCATCCACAAACACTTGCTGAGCACCTTCTGGCGCGTACTTGGCCCACACTCCTCTTTAGATCCCAATTTGATCATACCAATTTTCTAAAACATACCATAACATTCTCAGTTAGTTTAGCGTCAACTAATCGTTAATCAATTTCTTAAAATATAAATGAATTGTTGTGAACTCACCCTCATAAGCAGCAGTAAGGCGATGCATATAAACCCGAGCACCGGGTCCCAAAGTGAAGCGTTGTGCAAGTTGCGGAATATAGAAATCCACTGCTGCAAGAATGTGCCACCGGTGACAGGAATGGCAAACAGATCCTTGACCTGCGACGTGGCGATCATAAGGGCCACTGCTGACGTGAAGCCCGAGGACACCGGACCTGACACAAAGTTTACAAGGAAGCCGAGTCCGAGGACACCCATTAATAGTTCTACAAGTCCAGTGAGAAAGTTTAGAAGGATGGCCTTCTCGACTACGCCGCCGGCAACTTGGAACGTGAGGAGTGACGCGATGGCGGTGGGTCCTGCTGGCACGGCACGGCAACCACCCAGAACGATGTAGATGAAGCAGCCCAAGAATGAGCCGTACAATCCATACTGCGGGGGCAGTCCAGCGATGTTAGAGTACGCCAGCGACTGCGGGATCACGGTCAGCCCCACGGTGATACCGGCGATCAGATCGCCTACGGCCTTCTCCGCATTATACCTGCGACAATACATGGGATAAATCAGCTGTGAGGATTTTTTTACAGAATAAGGATGACAAACGAAAACAGGTGGACTCTGTTTTCGTCCTGACGGTAAGTGGTTGATGTGGCCCATAGACATACAATTATCTTGGATTAATCATTAAAATGCAGATGCTTTGTCACCCCTAAAGAACTAAGAAGGATATAGCTTGCTTACGTATACTATAAGGGATCACTGGTTAAAACCTTCCTGGAGTTGTATAAGATCAATTTATTACTAAACACGACAGTCAACAAAACTATTTTGACAACAAAATGCGAACAACGGATAACGGATATGCTTGATATTTTTACCTAGAAGAGCCATATCAAGCAGAGGATATATTTTATCGGGATGGTACAGAAAAAATAGAATTTTAAGATTTTTTGAAGAAATATTAGAAGAATATCCAATGCGTTTATATATCCGATTCCAATATTCAAGAAATGTTTCGTTCTTCGTAATGATCCGTTTATTACATACGAGTACGGGATGCATGTTTTTACAGTTTATATTAAGTAGGTACAAATTATTCTATATAGTTTAATTTATGATTCATTTATGAAAAAAACTTTAAACAGTTTATACGTAGTTGAACTTGCATTTTATTTTTAAAAGGATTTCATGAAATTGTAAAAATATTATATTGTAAGTTATGATTTGAAAAAAAAAAAAGCTCCCGCTGCATTTCTTGCTGGTTCTTGCCAGGACAGAGGTTTTTTGCGAACCAGTGGTAACATTTAAAAATTACTTTCTTTTTTTTATTTGGTTCACAAATGGAATGTAACGTTTACATGATTCAGGTAACATAAAAAAGTAACAAACAAACGTTCATTCTAATAACAGTGAACACAGCATGCAACAAGTGGACATGATAACAAACAAAAATTAAGAAATGAAAAAACTCTTAAATAATAAATATTAATTAATTAATGGCTAATCTAATGTTAGTCCTTACTGAGGCCTTAGACCATGAAATATGTCGAACAAATCACGAATATTATTATAACTATTAGTCATTCTGTACAATGGCGAGTGATGACCCGCCACTGTTTTACAGTAAGGCGTGACAAAAGTCTTTTTGCGGCCCAAGCGACTGCCGGCTCTTGGGACCGACACATCTAAATGATTTAAAATGTCCGGACAGTTGATGAGACCATGGATAATTTTATAGAGGAACATGACATCAGATGATTCCCGCCGCTTGGATAGCAATTCTAATTTGTAGTATGCCAATCTACTCTCATATAAAATAAGTGTCCTGCATTGGTTATTTGCGTGCGATAACTGGTACATAAACCTTTTCTGAATCTTTTCCAGTCGGTTTGAGTGACACTTGTACCCCGGATTCCAGACTGGGCTAGAGTATTCCACAATACTTCTCACCCAACAGTTATAGACCGGAATGATTAAATCAGGATCTTTGAAAGATTTTATTTGCCTGGATATAAGCCCGGATAACTTAGAAGCTTTTTTTGTTATTGCGTCAAAATGGTTTCTAAAGCTGAGCGTGCTATCAATTAAAACGCCTAAGTCCCAGATTTCCGTGATCTCACCCAGTGGCTCATTGTTTAGCTTGTATGTTGCCTCGGTTTTATTTTTCCTTCTAGTAAACTTTAGATGAAAACATTTACCAGTGTTGAGGATCATATGGTTTTGACAACACCAGTCGTATAATCTATCCAACTCGTACTGTAGAGTGATTAGTTTAGAGTCAATGATTTTGTACAGTTTTAGGTCGTCTGCGTACATTTTAAAATTACATTCTATTATATTGACTAGGTCGTTTATGAAAATTAAAAAGAACAATGGACCGACATGAGAGCCCTGGGGTACGCCTGAAGGAATCTCTCTAGCTGAGGATGAATAACCACGTAATGAAACTAACTGTGACCGATTCCTAAGATAGGAATCGCACCAGCGCAGCAGTGAACCATGGACCCCCATTAGCATGATCTTCTTTATAAGCAGGTCGTGGTTAATGAGATCGAAGGTCTTGCTAAAATCAGTGTAAATACTGTGTACCTCTTTATTCATATCCAGTGCACATGCAATATCATTAACAAAACCGACTAAGTTAGATGTTGTTGACTTTTTAGGCTGAAACCCATGTTGGTCTGGGTGCAGGTGCTCTTTAACGTGCCAATATATTTTTTATGAACAAATGACTCTAGAACCTTCCCGGGTGCTGGAAATATGGAACCAGGCCGGCTGAAAATTACATTAGATGCATCGGCAAGATCTCCCTTTTTATGGATAGGGATAATGCGCGCCTTTTTTCATACTAGGGGGAAAATGCCGCTTCGAAGAGAGTGGTTAAATATATACGTAAGAGGTTTTGACATAGTTTTTGCACACTTCTTTAGAACGACAGGGGGCAAGCCATCCATTCCAGAACTTTTGCTCCCATCCAATCCCATCAATGCTCTTTCTACCTCGTATTCGCTGACAGTGAGTGAGTTGATGGTCAGACTGTTCTCGTAAATATGGAGAGCTGTTTTATTGACATAGGATGATTTGGATGTAAAATTGGTGGCGATGTCATCGTATATTGATTGACACAAATCTCTTGGCCACGTCTCTACTTTCAATTAGAATTATATGTAATCAATATTGAATAAAAATGATTATATTCTATTCTATTCTTCATTTAATGCAGACGGGTCGTAAAAGAAAACGAAGCGTTTTTAAATAAAGAAACCCGGCTTTAGTGACTTGCATTTCCTGGCGACTTGCATCATTTCCAACTCTACAGATTTTTCCGTAGATCTACGGATTTTTTTCATCGCCTACGGAACTACAGGATTTTTAGTTGAAATCTATGGAATTTGATTTCTTTGTTAATTAAAACATTTTCGTACGTCACAGTCCTTTCTGAATAATTAGATTTTTATAAACATTTCATATCAAATATTAATAAAACAGTATAATGTCAATATATTTAGGATTAAAAAAGAGAAAAAATATTAAAAATATACAGGCATGTCCATGTCATAATGCATAATGTCAAACTTATACATAATGTATAATATCAACCTTACAAATTCTTATTCATTTGTCAATTTAAAATTTCAAACAACAACAACAATTCGCTTGAGATGACAGTCATGGCAGAATTTGATATATTCATTTACGTCATAAAAAGTTTTCAATTAGAATCCCGAAAATATTTTTTAACAGATTAATTGTCAAGTTTTGAATATGGTTCGGAAGTAAATTAATTAGTCGAACGCACACAACCACCACGATCATTATGTTGTTTTGTGAAAAGGTTAGCATTTTTTTTGGTCAATATTAAAATTTCATATATATATAAGGAAGGTAATGTAAGAATTTTTAACTTTTTAAAGAGAGGTCTACATGATTCCTTTGACCGACACCGCAGACGTATATGATCTATATACGTCTCTTCTGTAGTATGAAGACACGAGAAATGTGTGTCGAATTTCCCCACAGAATCAGTCCATACCTCAGTATAGAACCAACGTATCCATGGTATGCCATCAAAGCTATCTTAAGGGTATCTAATTTTGACAGACAATATAGAGCGAACTTGTTAACCCTCTGGCATACAGAGTCAACGTGTTCTGCCATGTGAGTTCGGAATTAATTACAATACTGAAACGTCGCTGATGCGGTCATGGCAATGGGATCGTTACTATGGTGTACTGATAGTTGTTGGGATTTGCAATTTTTGTTGTAAAATTGTATATACTTTTTTATTCCTTATATTTCTTATTTCATTGTTTATTTCATCATAATATTTAAGTGGTAATTATTTTATTTGTTTTTTACTAAAAAAAATTTAATTAAAAGCACAATTAATTTTTAATATTTTTTATGGTACTTTTATTAAATGTGCAGATTGATTCGATGTTATACTACAACTGAACATACAACAAGAATTTTACATGACAGAAAGAATTTCTCCAAAAAATAGATCAATTCTATGACAAAAACAAAAATTTTTGTTTTTGTCTGCAGATCTACGGATATTTTTAAATAGCATCTACGAAATGCTACGGAATTTTTCATACCAATCTACGGATTTGGAAAATTCGAGTTGGTAACACTGATGACTTGTAACGGCTGTACACCCACACATTTACATATTATGTTTATAACTTTTAATAAATAGGTACCGTAGAAATATGCTCCTAATTTTTTTATTTAATTCAGAGAAAACGTACAAAATTTGAAGTTTTGAAACTGCGACATATTTGGAAACGGGAACGAATTTTAAGGATTTATTAAGCGGAAGTTTAAAAAAATGTATTTTCGAAATTTATACGGAAGTTAATGAAAGTCCGTTCTCTCTGTCTACCCCACTAGGTAACAGGCGTGAGAGTTTATGATCATGATTATAATAAATCATTATAAAAGATATTGGGCAATTTTTATAGTACTTAAGGTAAAAAAAAAAACAAAAATAGATGCTTTTCCGTCCCAATAAAACCAACGTTCCAGGCTTACAATTTGATACAGGTAACTGAGAACTAATTGGAGTAATTACATTACCGATAAATTATAGCTGTGGACACTGTAAGGTTCTGTGATTATTTTTAATAGAATAAGGTTAACAAATGAGTACACAGCTCACCTGATGGTAGGTGTATGCTGTGGCCTCTAGGTATCTACATCTATCCTCAATTAAAAATCAAAATGCAGATGCGTTGTTACTCCTGAGGACTAATATGGAATGTCCTCGTTTCCAGTAAAAAAGGGTCTCCAGTTCTCCTCACTCATCATACGAAACACAGCAGTATTAAGATACCATTTTACGCTGGCATTCTGCGTGATGCGAGAGCGTGATCCTTCTCCGTTTGAGCCAACCCATTCGAGCTACAACCATAATACTTACCTACCTACATAAAAATTGTATTATGTTCACATGCGTTGCAATTTTTGAATGGAATCAGTCAATTGTAAGAACATGTTTTCAAAGTCATTATCAAAGTCAAAACTTTTTATTCAATTTAGGCTTATTTGAAGCTCCAATGGACCTCGAAATGTGCACCGGTTCGATAAAACAAGTCTTAAGAGAAAAACCGGCTAGAAATTTTGAGATTGTTTTTTAATGCTATGTCATAATTTTATTTAGGACTTTCATTCAATAAAATCAATACAATGTCAAAACATTTGAATAATATTTTTATTTAACAGAAATCAGTAGCCAGGGCGCCTTGCAAGTGCACACTAAAGTGTTATTTGCACACATTGAATTTTTGTTGTACATAGGTAATATCTTTAGAGTATAATATCCTAAGGTTATATCAGATTGTTTCACTATGTTTTAAGAGATTTTTTTGTAGAAATTAGGATCCTTTAGCGTAGCACCTCCGTTTCTTCTTAAAATTCGTATTTTATTAAATTCTTTTTGTTTTTTCCGTAAAAATAAACAACGAAGTGTAAAAATATTGGTAACCTTCAAAAGTCCGCATAGTGACTCGAGAGACGCCAAGTTGTAGATTGCCTTATGAATATTGTTTCCAATCCAGCTGAAGATTCCCGTAGTCTACCATAGAACATGACGTTGTGGAAGTTTGCAACGTACCTACACTTATTTAGCTGGTGCTTCACCAGTCAGCTTGCTTATCGTTCTAATAGCGCACATTGCGGGACTTATTATCGACGATAGTTTCTTTATACGTACTCCACACTGGAGCTTGGCATATTATTTATTCTGTGGCATGACTTAAAATACCATCGAACTTTCGAGATGTAAATAATTATTTGTTTATTTATCTTTATCCTTGTAAATAGTATAAATATGAAAGTTTTGGCTGTTTGGCCATTCAATAACGCTTGAGCGGTTGAAGGGATAACAATTATCATAATATATATAGTTTGCTGCGTCGTTTATCATGCAATGCAAAAGAGTGGAATAAGTAAGTTACCAGCATCTGTCTTTCCATCCGATTACAGTGTGGGTGTCTTCAAGGCAAGAGTGAATAGGCTGTGGTTAAGTCAGTGCGCTTCACCATCTGCGGTTTCATCACCACTTACCATCACGTGGGTTGGTAGTTAGCGCTGGCTTATAATAACAAAAGAATATTTATCATAGAAAAAACAGTAAACAAATACTTTGTAATGTATATTAACATTAATAACAATTACTACAAAACTTTAATTCACGCTAGTATGCCGGGTAACAGCTAGAAAAAGGGGAGAAGTAGTAAATAAAAAAGGAAAGTACATACTGTGGTAACCAGGCCGTGATGGGCACCCTCTTATGCAAGGTCTTGCGGTTGAGTCGACGACGCAGCGCCGCGCAGCATCCCTCACGCTGAACGCCATCCGACACTGCACAGAACCAACACGAGTTAATAATAACGCAATCTAATACAAAATAGACAAAATATGATGAGAAATTTCAATCTGCTGGTACCGAATGATTCCCGAATAATCATTTCTGAACGCGTCTGAACCACACTGGTCACACGGTCACTGTGTGTTTACAATCGGCACTCGAGGACGAATATATTTTCAATTAATAAAGCGTGGCTGCGCAGGCGCTGGCGGGTACATACTGGCGGCGGGTTGGTGGGATGATGGTGGGGTTGGTGAGGGGGGGGAGGGAGAGGGGGCGCGGGGCTTGCAGTCAAGCTCACGGCCGGACGCTCGCCGCCCGCCGGCTCGCTCTCCAATTACCTTCCCCGGGATCGATGATAAAAATTAACTAGCTAAGGTCCGCGTAATAAAATACAACGACATACAATAATAAAATACCCAGCACCACTGCAGGGTTTGATGGACGCAATTGAGGGAGGGGCTCTCCAACTCAAACTAGGTAAGACACATCATTTTTCTTATTACCGCGGATCTTAGTTAATTTTAACATCTTATATATTAGATTTCCGCAAAGTAACGCCTGATTCTATTATTAGCCCGGTATCGTAAATACACGTTGATTCTTTGCGACTAAATCGATTTCACATTTGATAGGCGTTTGAATATCAAAGTCATCGCGCGAAATTTTACCGAGAACGACTGCAATCGCGAAACTAATGGGCGAAGCGAATGTTTCCGAATGGGAAGCGGAGACAGGTAAAAGACAATAATAATGATCCTCCTCCTCGAGGGCGGCCGGTCTCAGTGGAAACTAGCCATCGGCGCACGACGGGATCATAGTGCACGAGCGTATGCGCAAGCACAGGTGCACTCTCTACTTCCTCACTCTCATAGTCCGATGGAACGGCAAGCTGACACGACTGGAGAGAGATCAGACGCAGGACCAAGGCTTGTGCTTTCCGAGGCACGGGGGTGAGACACCGCCAGCTTCCTGGACTCCGGGCTGCTACTCAAAATTTTTGACATAAAAACCCAGTAACCGATTTTGTCCGGTAAGGAATAATACTATTAATTCTGTACTCACATATGTAATCATTGCTGGCGTGCTTGTCGTCTGGCGGTGGCAGCGAGCCGGACGACGCGTTGTGCTTCCGCCGCGGGATCATCCTGTAACACCCCAGATAAGAATATGTAATTAATTTGCACTTGCTACTTGTTTGATAATGTTTACAACCACCGTTACGGTTAAAGCATATTAAGGTCCACTTCTGAACACAGGATCGATGGATATGACCTTATGAATAGAAGTTAAAATAACTAAGAACATTATTATATATATATATTGCTTTTATATATATTGCTTGTGACGTAGATAGGATCAGGAAAACGTTGTGGTGAACATATATGACATTAATTTGCTATTTTAATCATTATAAAACATCCGCAATAAATTCCACACTAATAAAAAAGAACATATAAGATACACATCGCAAGGAAAACGACCCATTTTACTATCGAGCTTTAGAAATAAATCTTTATTTTACTAACAAGTAACTATTAGTAATGTTTTTTGTATCACATTCATCAATTCGGACTATTTGACGGACAGACATTTTTGTGTTCTTAAATAATAAAGAGGCAACACTTAACGTGCTATGGACATTGTTCCTTAAAAAAGCACATGATACATCTAGGGATTAGGCAACTCAATACTGAGTCTATTCGATTCTGTTCTTTATCGGAAGAAACACCTCTGCACATCTTAACTGATTGCTGGTCCTTAATGCGCAAACTCGTCGGTGAAACTGCGAAGACAGTAAGACAGAAGAAGTGTAAATCCTCACAACTAAGCAACTCTTTCAAATCATTGAAGATAATTAATTAACTGCTACGCCATTAGCAGTTATTTTTTTTATCTTGTTTAAAATGTTACCCTAAACATAACCTACACACAAGGATTTTCTCCTGTATCATGGAGGCAGTTTATAAATATAAATTTCACAAGGGCAAACATCCAGACCCGGAACAATTATTTGCAGGCCATACACTTGTTCCGTGCGGGATTCTCACTGCTAATGCCTACTACTCCCATCCGTCAAGCAATGAACTATAGCAATAACGGCGATCACAATAGATCTTTCTGGTTGCAGTGATATTGGTCTTATTAGGCTGCTGGCACAAAAAATTAACTAAGAAAAATACCTGCCTTATTCTATTAATAAAATAAGTAAATTACATATTTCTATGTCCATTGCAAATATCTTTCTACGGACAGACGCGGAAATTGCTTATATTACAGGTCGTGGCTCGCAGCCTGCCAGACACACTCCGGAACATAACATTAATCAATGATAATAATCATTGATATTAATATTTATGCTCATCTAAGAATTACCATAATTTATAACGGAACAAATCGCATCGAGGAAATAATACTATCTACTACTGCTTCGAAACGACGTTTGTTCATTCTTCATTCTTTAGTAGGTATACTAATCTATGATTCAGCCTAAGCAGAACACGTGTGTGACATAAACATATAACAAGCCGAGAGCGCGAGCAGGCGATCTCTTCACTTGGGCTTATTAAAGTGGATCAACATAAACAATGAAAATATAACGTTATTATTAAAACATAACTTTATTCTTTATATTTTAATTGGGGATAGCTGTAGATGTCTATCGACCAAAGCAACCACTTACCATCAGGTGAACTGTGTGCTCGTTTGTCAACCTTATCCTATAAAAAAAAATTCTTACAGCCTAATACTAAATGTTTAAATCACTACTAAAGTACAGTGAATGCCTTTCAATTTACAGAGGATAAATTAATTTTTACATTTCTTTGAGCACCTCCCTGTGATTATTCTTAATTTTATCGCGCACAAGTTATAACACGTCTTTATTTATAGGAGAGGGCGCAAACGAGCATGCGGCTCACTTGATGGTAAGTGACTACCGCCGCCCATGAACAACTGCAACACCAGGAGAGTTGCCGACAAAAAGAGTAGGCTCTTTTCTTGAAGATTCCTAAGTCGAATCGGTCAAAAAAAATCTCTGGTGATTGGATGGTATCGCAAGGTTTTCGCGAATTAGTCCGAACAATTACTCAGAGCGCTCCCCGTGATAGATGCGATAAAATACGCAAAGAGATGCAACATCTCTTCGCAGTGCCAATCGGGAAGAAACGGTCGTCGACGATTTGAGCCGCTCTGCGTTGGATGCGGTCAAGTGGAAGGAGCACTGGGGAGCCACTGCCTAGAGATTAGAACAGTACTCCACGTGGGGCCGTACCTGCGGCCTGTAAAATTGCAAGCGGTGTGCCGGCATGAAATACTCTCCCACTCTGCTGAGCACGCCAAGCTTTTTAGAGGCCAATTTTCTCTTCCAAGTGAGCATGAAACTGCACTTCACTCGGTATGTCGACACTGAGGATTCTGATACTGGCTGAAGCAACAAGGGGAGTGCCTTGAGACTGAAGTGATACGACAAAGGGGTTCGTTTTAGCGGTAAACGCGCAAACTCATGTCTTCTGGGGATTGAAATGGACTAGATTTAGTCGCCCCCAATCCGAGACTTTGTTCAACAAAGACTCTACTTAAGACACAAGTTTGTTCCGGTGCTCGACGACGTTTTCCCGACGTTTTCTATTTTTTATTTGTAGCTATTATGTACTACTTGTTCAGAAAAAGCTAGATTATACCTCGAAAAAAAAACTAAATGCGACCATTTAAAAATAACTAGGTATATACGTATATGGCTTTAGTTTGAATCTAAGGGTTTATCACACGTATTTATATTAAGGTATTGTATTGGCTTATTCTCCACTGCCACAAAAAAGCAAAACTTAAATTATTTCCCATTTGCCACGAAGTAACATGCCCCATTGCCCCGACATATAATATTATTTCTTTGTACTTTATAGGGAAAACGAAGTACGTAAAAATAATTTACTTTACCTACTTTGACAATTTTTAAGGCTTTACTTTATTCTTTACTAAATGAACGAGTTATAAATAGAACTTGTTATGTTAAGAAAAAACGGGACAATAGAAACAAGTGAAAGTGTGAAAACAAGAAAGTGTCCCCAAAATGAATTAATTTATAGGAACGAGTATATCTTAACGTTGCTTAAAGCAACAGAAACTATATATTATTTGAAAAAAAAATAGCTAGTCGTAAAATATTTCATATTTACACTTTCAGGTTAGAAAAGAAAAATGATATAGGTTATTTGCTCGTAAAAATGATGACAACTCTGATATTAATGCAAACCACTGCAAGCTGCATGCGTTTTGCGTAGGAAGCTCGCGATATCAAAATATTTATCCGCTACGAGTACAACACTAACCCGACTTTTAAGAAACTAATTTCACTTTTGTTTGTGATTTAACGATTTAAAATATATATTTTTAAAAGAGGCCACATCTAAAGTTCAGTAAAGTATATTTTAATGTTCTTTCGAATTGCGTAGCGTATTTGATTAATTATTTTTCAATAACCCATAAAGTGTGCGGTCTGCGCCAAGTTCATAGAATACAGTTCAATAATTTCATAGCATCTCTGTTTCCATTTGATCACAGTGTGGGTGTCTTCAAGCCAAAAATTAACAGGTTTTTGTTAACTGGGACCGTAGTCTAGCACTAGCTTATAATAATAAAAATCTATGTTAGAGGCCTATGTTTAGCAGTAGACTTGTGATGGGCAGCAATGATGATGATGACATCAGATATAGGAAAATAAAATGATTTGCGCATCTTATTGCATCTTATTTTATCGAAGCTCGAACACCAATCATTGTGTTCAAAGTTCACTCGTCGCTGATTGATGAACTGAAGCACGGTAGTTATTTCTGTTAGAAAATTTAGTTGTATCGATCTGTTATGTTAGCAAACAAACTTGAGTGGAAACAAAAAGAGCAAAGCAACAATTAAAAATTTTGTTCGAACGACGTTATATAATAAGAATATTCATAAAATTAATAATATTATGCTCGATGTAAGACAAGAAAAGAGTTTTTCATTTTGCATTTTCTTTCTTAATTAAGGCTAGTGTAGATTTCTATAGGCCACAGCATCTACTCACCATCAGATGGACTGTGTGCTTGTTTGTCACCCATATTATATAAAAAACGTTAATCGCTCGCCGGAGGCTCGGCATAATTGCAGGGACGAGGAGCGCCATCTACAGTGCGAGGGGACTGGCGCCTACACAATGTGCTCAGTATGCGTATAGCTTTCAAGTAAACCATGCCAGCTTAAAGGCCGGCAACGCATCTGCAATTCCCTCCCTGGTGTTGCAGTTGTTCGTGGGCGGCGGTAGTCACTTACCATCAGGTGAGCCGCATGCTCGTTTGCCCCCTCTCCTATATAAAAAAAAGCTTAACCAAGTTCTACGCCCAGAAGTGAACTTAAAAAGGCCGTCGATGTAATATATTATAATGAAATGAATAGTATGCTAAATTTAATAATAAATAAATATGAGTGTCTGAGAGATGACTACAATTTATGCCATTTGCTGTAGGGACTATCGGACCGTGGGGTCCAGGTGCGGTGAAGTTCCTAAAGGAACTACATCCGTGACTCGTTGCTGCTGGTGATAAGATGGCTGGTTCTTTTCTCGCTCAAATGCTAAGTATAGCCATTCAGCGGGGAAACGCAGCCAGTGTTCTTGGCACGATACCGCGGGGAGTAGGACTGTATGATAATTAAGTTACTAGTTTTAGCTTTTTTTTAATTATAGTTTTTAATATTGTATTTAATAAAATGCAATCTAATTACTTTAGTAATAAGTAATATTTTATGTCAAAGTACGCTATGTCCTAGAAACAAATAAGTTGCAAGCTCTTTTTGCTATTTATTTTTATTTTGGCACGTATTAAGTCACTGAGGGTGCAAAAATTAGCGGCAATACTTTGTGAGTTGGTCATTATGATCTAAATTTGCCGATACGACTTATGGACCTTCAACAAAAAAGCTTACTCGTTTCTAAAAGGCTGGCGACGCACCTGATATTCCGTGTGGTGTCACTTATTATAGGTGAACCGCATGCTCGTTTGTCCCCATCTTCTACAAAAAATGCAAGAAATAACTACCACCAAACTGCAGATTTTGTTCTTATAATAATAACTTGAGCGTTGCGCAAATACTATTTTAAATGGAATACGAGCCACCTGAAACCCATAAGCAGGAAATTACCCGCGTGGTGACAACGTCGTTAAGTAACGAACGGCTGAACGGCAGCTGACCTGGCAAATGTTCCTGACTAAAAAGCTGGCACTCTACTCTACTCCAAATAGCTCAACATCTTATTGTTTTTGTTCAATGCACGATAATACCTCTCTTAAAACTTTGATAATACTAGGTAAGTGGTAAGTACGAGCAATTTATTTCACGGCTTGTTACATTACGCTGCACAAACTGCTACTTGACAGGACGTTCTATAATTACAATTTAGTTGTTCAATTATGTACGATTCGCAGATTGTAACTAACACCTTAACTAAGCTTGATTCAGTCTGATTTTTAAATTGTTACTGTCTTAACATTTTTTTGAGCACTAAGCAAGATATTTTCTTGTCATTTTAGTCAAAATGTGCACCTGTCTACCGTTGAAAAATACAGCCGTAAAGCTTTTTTTTGTAGTTTCCACTCACTAGGATTTTTTCCTGAGCAGCCACTGACGACTCGGAGAGACCGTTCACTCAGAAAGTCCTTCACCCAGACGATCCCAGGCCAGGGGAAAAGCCGTACGCTGAAAGCTTGCCCAATAGACTAGCGTGCCAAACCCTGTCAAAGGCCTTCGAAACATCGAGGGAAACAGCAAGTGCTTCACCACTGTTCTCGAGGGCTTCGCCCCATATGTGAGTGGCATACGCTAGAAGGTCCCCAGTTGATCGATTTCGGCGAAACCCGTACTGGCGATCAATGAGGAAATCATTTTTATCTAGGTATGTCATGAGGTGGGCGTTCAATATACGCTCCATAATCTTGCCGAGTATGGAAGTAATTAAAATTGGCCGATAGTTGGCCGGGGCGGTACGGCTACCTTTTTTAGGCACAGGCTGCACATTGAACAGCTTCCAAGATTTGGGCACTATACCAGTCCTGAATGATAGGCGGAACAAGCGTGTCAACACATGAGACAACTCAGATGCACAGGCCTTTAGAACTATAGCTGGTTTACCGTCAGGACCACTAGCTTTGTTCACGTCTAGACTTCGCAGGGTTTTAAGAACCTCCTTGTTGGTGATACGGACCTCTGACATAGAGGTACCGCAGTGAAGTAATTGAGATGGTACACTGTTGCAACTATCCAGACGCAAAAAGAGATGCAAATAAGTCCGCTTTCTCGTTAGGCGCATGCGCCTAAGGAGCCATCTGGTTTTACTAGCGGAGGCAGTATAGACCGACAGAAATTTATCTCGACCGCTTTGGTGAGAAACCAAAAAGCTCTAGTGCCAGATGATTTGTCAGAGAGCTTTGTACCGATGCGTTTAATGCGGTCGAAACTGGCTTGGCGTAAATCCTTTTTGCAGGACTTGGCGGCTTGGTTAAAAGCTCTCTTCTAAAGGCCATCCGCAGCGTTGCGGTCTCGAGCATCGACCCAGGATACTTACGCCTTATGCTTGTACTTTTTAGCACGACACTCGGTGTCGAACCATGGGCGAGCTTTAACACCAATGGGCACGTCAGTAAAGGGGATGAAATACTCCATCGCTTGACGTTTCACATTGGTCTAGCTCGATGGGTCTTCAGACGAGAAGCAGACCTGCCTCCAAGAATAAAATGCAAAGAAATCCCGCATCTCATCCCAATCTGCCGACTTGTATCGCCACAATCGTCGCACACCGTGGGAATTATTATTAATTATATTAGCTATTGAAATGTTTCATTAAGTTAAAGAAAGTCAATATTAAAGTAAGCAACCCGGTTGTGCAGTTCACGCCGTGTGCGGAGAGTTGCATAGACGTAAAGGTAATAGTAAACATAAAAGTGTTGTACAACTGGCTTCAATATAAATAAAATGAGAACATCATCAATGTAGACGAAGTCAAATACGTATTATTAAGCATAGCTCAAAAACTACTAGTCAGATCTTGATAAAATTTATATGACACCACATGAGAAGCATCAGCTTTCAAGTAAAAAAAAAGAATCATCAAAATCAGTTCACCTAGAAAAAAGTTTGAGATGACAAATTAAAAAAAATACAGTCGAATTAAGAACCTCCTCCTTTTTATGAAGTCGGTTGAAAATATGCGGCAATCTATTAGACACGGCTATTTAACGCCAGGTCAGTGTGTATTTGTATGCAAGTATCGACACCAGAAGAAAAGGTGTGAGTCCGCGGCACCGCGCCGACTGTTATTGATTGTCATAAATAATGCAAGAACTTGTTACGATAATATTCTGCTGTGTCACGTCACGTTAAATGTAATAGATTAGTTTGAATTGGAAACACCTTTTAAAAGAAACAGTTTCAGTAAGTTATGGAACAGGATCAATAAGTCTATTACACGAGCTGGATTATGCAAAAACTACGTGATAGAACAGAAACAGAATAAAATAAAAAGAAATACTGTATTAAGTTGACAGATAAGCCAAGAATACATTCATGTTCTATCATTCATTTCAATATTGTTCAATATCATGCAACCATTTCATGAAATCAATGGATATTCCAAATAAAAGCATTAGGTACATTTCTCTGATATACATAAATGTTTAATATGACATATAGGTAATATTAATACAGTAAAATCCAGAACATTATTATTTATATCTCGTTAGTTATGGTAAAATGAAATAACATTTGTAATGAAAACGAAGCGTGGCATCATCAAAATAGAATTTTGTAAGGAATTAATCTTTAGAAAGTGTTATTTTAAGTCTATATGAATATAAAAGAAATTTAACAAAAAGATCGTCTGGTATTTTTTTTAAACTTTACCCCTATACTAGAATGTTCTCCTGTATCGTGGAGGCAGTTTATATACATACATTGCACAAGAACAACGGACCCGGAATAATTATTTGTAGGCCATACAAATACTTGTTCCGTGTGGGATTCGAACCAGCGGTCGCCATCCCTGCAACTCATTACTAAGCCACTGCGCCACGGAACCGTCAAACTTTTAACTTTTAACTTTTAGCCATTTAACTTTTGGACCAGAGATAGTTGGTATATAAAGGGGTAAACTTTGTCTCGTATTATAAATTCCTGTTAAAACTTAGCTTATCGATAAAACTAGACTAAATGTTAAGCCATCTCAAATAAACTGGAGATGAGAAATTCAATAACACCTACTCGGGAATTTAGAAAAGACAAGATTTGCATAATTGTAAACAATCATTCAAGTTTTTCCTATTCTTTATATGTGTATTGTATTTTTGTATCTACGATAGTAAGTGATTAAAGATTCTCTAATAGTTGACTAATATAATTAATATTATTGCCATCACTTAAAATATTGACAAAAAACCCCGCTGTGTAGATGAGATCATTTTAATATCCCGTATGAAAATAATTAAGCGGACACGAGAACGTATTTAAAAAGATCAGAAGGTGCGATGATATATAAAATATAATATATTTAACATGTTATTTTTATATATTAACATTCACTATATGTATAGGTTTTTTTATATTGTTACATATATATGTTGCACCTGCCACAAAATCTGGTTGACTGGCAGAGAATGCCGGTAGGCATTTAGTCCGACCTCTGTTATCTTATTCATTAAGGTGTTAACAATAAAGTGAAATCATAAAATTTATCACAAAACGAATACCTGCTCTCATAGTACCTATCTATATTTTTTAATATTTTTGTTTTTTTGAAGAAGTTTTGCCTCTCGCATCTTCTGAACTAACCGACTTGTAGTTTTTACAAACGCTTAAGGCTTGTAACCGCAAGAGGTCGGTAGTACACGGGCGGTTCAAGTCAAGCAATACCACAAAGTTCACACGAAAATGAAATTCCATTTGTGTCTTTATAATGTTGTCATCTTCATAAACCCGCTAAATTTTACAGCTACTACTAGCAGGACGTAGGCCCTTCCCGTTACAGGAATTATATGCCAATCCAACACGCACGGGACGAAATGGGATGATGGATTGAGAAACGCATTATTTTTAGTTAGTAGCTATAAAATCGACTTCTTACCGTATCACCAACAGGATCAGTTACAGTACAGATAGCGTTCTCTCTGCAGGCTCAGTACTGAGATGAACTAAACGCTTCCACTTCGATCTTATCAGTTAGTTTATCATCGATAGTATTATGACATATGCAGTAAGTACTGTGACTGCCCATGACATATTTGAAATGTCTACATATCAAATTAATTTAACAAAAAGAGCCGTGGCTATGAGGGTCCACATAAAGCGAGTGTACCCAGTCCAGGTTCATGCGGCATTTTCTATTTCACTAATAGTACAGTGCGACAGGATCTGAGTTCGCATGGAGCGTATACTACAATCAGACCAGACATGTCGGCGTCGCAACCGCTCTTGCCGTACGTGCTCGACCGGTTGACGCACTAAGCATTTTATAACACAACTTCATAACAATCGAGATTCGATCGATCAAACTTTAACAGTGCATAACTAATGCACATATTTCCATACCTTATCCCTACCCTTACATAGCGCCTCTCATTCACAACTTTTTATTCATGGGCGCACACCCGTTGCGGATCCGAGTCGTCTGCGGTTGACTTCGAACACGAGGAGCGAACTCATAATCAGTGTAAATTTTGCAGCAGCGCGATGACACAATCTCTGGTTATCGCAGAATAGGTGCAGAGTACTTGGTAGCGTACGGAACTACTGCTCGATGATACCGGCTAGCAGTCTAGATCGTGTAAGAAGCACTCACTTGCGCCGTGAGCGCGTGGCGGAGGTGGCTGGAGGCTTAGCTAGTCGTCAGGAGCGCATGCCGGGCTGTGTTTCGAGCGTGCTCGGTGGCGGCGGCGACGTGTTGAGGCTGCGGTGGACGAACGGGTAAAGAGCGGCGTGTACGCGAGAAGACGTGCGAGCGCCGACACGGTCCGAGCGCGACTGAGCCGAGCACGGAGCACCCGAGCAGACGGCGGTGAGATGCGCCACGGAGGCTGCGCACCGCGTCTCGCCCCGCGCCTAGCCTCGACCGCCAAAACCCCACACCGATGTCGGTGAAATGCGCTACTGGTTGCTAGAAACACAGCCGTCCAATCTTTAGGCCCTTTACACATTGACCTATGTCAATCCCTTCCCGACAAGCAATGGAAGGACAAGTCTACATCTATAATCTTCAAATTCTTTACAGTATCACTAAAAGGAATAACAGTTATATCAAATAATATTTGTTGTTAACTATCAAAAGCGAGACTTGACCGTAATTTACAGACTGTTGACGATAATAACTAGTGTTTTATAAGATTAACGTGAAAGCCATAGGCATACTCCATTCAAATATCCGATCAAGATCTGCGTTGATGCCATTAGCATTTAGAAAATTGTTAGGTCCTGTTTTGGTATATATTCTTAGAGCATCTATACAAAGGGTAGAAGTATATTTTAAGTGAAAAAACCCAAGTGCATTTTGATATCAAGGAAAGGCGTCTCAAGATGAGTGATGCGGTGATCACTTTTAAAATAGTCTATATGTAAAAGGGTTTGCTCGGTCAGTCACTGTCATGTGAAAAGGGCTTAAAGGCGGTCATCGTTATAAGTTTTCCAAAACCCTTATTTGATTTTTAAAATTTAACTTATAGACAATAATCGTCTAAGGCACACTGGCAATTCATAAAACAGGTTTTCATTCATTTTTTGTGTTGACACCAAATATATTTAATTCTCAGTTGTTTTCGAGTCTCTCACTAACAAGTTGAACCGTCACTTTTATTGATATAAGTTCAAAGCATTACAATAAAAGGAACGTACATGGTACAGAAGGATGATGAACTTCGAGTTCATCACCCTATTTTAAGCTATTCGTATTGAGGTCGCTTGAAACAAATTGCGCGGGCGGCACGCTCGTCAGTCGGCTGTATTAGTGTAACATAACTGTTCAATCCAGTTTAATCGCCAATCCCTCGGTAACACCTAATTGAAGTGTCAAAATGAACGGGTACAATTATCGCACGCACTGGAATCGATTCGTTGTCTGATATTATAATTCTTTATTTCGCAATGTTCCCGCTTTATTGGACGCGTTTGCGTAATGGACTCGGTTCTGCGTCAATTTCAACGCTGTGCCCGGTTACTGTTGGTACGCTAAATAAAAAACATTGATAGCGACTAATATATATAGTTATAATATTTACAACTCGTACATCATACAGTTAACTGTAGAGATACAGTAGTGGACGAAACCGTTCATCATAACCGACGGTTTCTTTTGCCATTTGCATTTTTACTGCATTGTGTTACTTTTCTCGTGCCGCCACCTGAAAATGGAAGTACTACGCTGCTGCTACCGTTACAGTCTATTAAAAGCCCACGGCTGGACATAGGCCCGCCCCATAGACAGTTTTATATGAGGGATATGTGCCATAGTTGCCATGATTGGCTGGTACATAACAAAAGAAATATTCAACAGTAGAGCACATGCTTGTTAGAGTTTTTTAAACAAATGAATTATTACAGTTTGACAAGGGCTTATTTCGCTTTCTTATAAAAATGCCAGTATTAATTACATCTTTGTTTCTGTGGTTTAAACCTAATTTTTAAAATTGTATATAAGAAATGAGAATATCCGCAGTAGACTCAGAGTAATCGACACATTAATCCTTACACTTTCATAACATCTTAACTTCCTTACAGAATTATAATATTTGACAAGTGAAATGTCAAATATTATAATTATGCATAGAAGTCGTGGATGACCTCATTACGGATTAGTAAGCTGAAGTGGCAAGAGGCCGGCCACATGGCTCGAAGAATCAACAACCGATGGGAAAGAAAGTTTCTCGAGTAAGATATGTAGGAAGTCCACGGATGCAGGTGACTCAGGACCGTGTTTTGTGGCGTTCCTTGGGGGACTTGGACGCCTATGTTCAGCAATGCACTTGTAATGATAATGATGATAAATAATTAAAATTATCTAACTAAACGGGTAGTGGCGGTGTAAGAATACCCATAGCCCCATTCGTCCCGGGGGTGCCGTAAGAGGCGGCAGAGGGAAATGGAACAGGAGATGGCCAGCGGCGTCTTCCTGCTTACCAAGCGTGGTAGCCTATGGGAGAGACTTATATTTAGCAGTGGACTTTGAAAGGCTGTACTGATAATGATGAGTCATAACAAGAAACTACTTCATACCAAATAAAAAACTCCACTGCTAGACTCTCACACTCTCCCTTTCTAGGAAGGATGTCCCTTAACCGCTACCGAGACTGGCATAAAGACATGTGCAGTAAAATAAATCTTGCACCTTTGACGTCACGGTTCATCACCATCTGTATATTTCTCACTTAGAATTATATTTTTTCTTTTTTTATATAGGGAGATATAGGTATCGTGAAAGTGTTTACCCATGAATTGCACAAGGACATACACCCAGACCCGGAACAATTATTTGCAGTACATACCAACATTTGTGCCGCGCGGAATTACCCGCGACCGCAACATACCAGCAGTCAAACGCTTAGCCACTGCGTCAGCCGTTGAGTTTTTTTTTTATAGAAATAGGGTGACAAACGAGCACACAGTCTACCTTATTGTAAGTTGATGCTGTGGCCCATACACATAAAAATGAAAATGCAGATTACGCGCTGTACACAGCGCACCTCGTACTTGTTGACTGTTGGGGGAGATCCAAACACAATCGACTGAGAGCGACGACGAAAGACGACGGCCCGTGGCGCAGTGACTGAGCAATAAGTTGCAGCGCTGTTTGAATCCTGCACAAATAATTGTTCCGGGTCTGCATGCTTGTCCGTGTGAAATTTATGTATATAAACTGCCATCGCGATACAGGAAAAAAATCCTAGCATGGAGGTAGCGTTTTTAAATAAAAAAGAAAAAAACACCTTTACCACCATTTCTTAGCTACTTACCGAGTGTGGCCAATAAAGGTAAGTATTACACGAAATGCATGTTAGTTGACGCAATTCTATGGTTTTTGTTCAGCAATGGTATTTAAAGGCTGGTGGTGATGACGAATGATGGTAACACCTTGACTGGAGTACGCTCGTTGCTTCGCCTGGTGGGATCAATTAAAATGGCGCCATTTAGATTTAAGATAATCATCAAAACTCATTTATTTCATCAGTTTCGATATCCCCAGAAACCCTCAATCATTTTCGGCAAAATCGTGGCTTAAATTACTTCTGGTATTGCTCTCTATCTGTTCGTGAAGTTTCATTGCAATCAGTCCAGCCATTTCAAAGGTTAGCCCGGTCAGATGGTCATTCGTGTCATAATAACATGTAAATAACCCTCTGAGCTTTAAATAAGTCAGTTATTTCTATATTATAGACCACGGAATATATTTTAAATTCCGTGTTACACTTCACACAGATACTTCAATTTTTTAAATGAAACTAATTTTACGGATTTTATCGCGTATATTAACTTATTTTACATTCCCGACGTTTCAAGCACTTTACAGCACCCATGGTCACAGGGGGGACTGAGGTGTATGACGTCCCAATGTCATAGTTAACCACGGCTACCTCCAGATTAAAAATTATTAATTTTTGTTCCGATCTACGCAGTATGAACTTACAGTATCGTGAAGTCTTGCAGTTGTATGCTTGGGTTGGGATTTAATTTTATTAATTATGGGATCCCAAGCAGATGGTAGCACCCAGCCATCTTCTCTATTGAAATTAGGATGTTTTTTGATTTCAATAGCCTCGCGAATCATCCTTGGAAGGAATCGGTGTTCTTTAGCGAGGATTTGTGGTCTATCAAATCTAATGTAGTGACGGGGGCGATCCTGTACATGTTCACAGACTGCAGAAGGAAGTCTTTTTTATCTGGAGGTAGCCGTGGTTAACTATGACATTGGGACGTCATACACCTCAGTCCCCCCCGTGACCATGGGTGCTGTAAAGTGCTTGAAACGTCGGGAATGTAAAATAAGTTAATATACGCGATAAAATCCGTAAAATTAGTTTCATTTAAATGTGTAGTGTTCGCGTAAATATAAGAAATCACTACTTCAATTTTATTTTCCGATTTGAGCTTACAACCAGGTATTAGGTTTTTTTGTCAAGAAATTCTAAATGGCAGCCCGTAGTCAAGACGTTGGCAGTGTTTCAAGTTTCAGAAAGCACGAACGCATTTGATCGTGACTTCTCAGGTCGTGTCGGATTTCGGATCAGACTGTAAACCTTACAAATATGAACTTCAGTACATATTATCTGAATTCATGTATAAGGCGCCGTTACAATGACGCTATTGTATACAACCGCATGGTATATAACCAGTTCCGAAAAGATCGTTGCCAAAGTTGGAACATTGCCGTTATTGTAACGTTTAGCAGTCCACTCATTTATCACACCCTACAATAAGATGGTATTCTGTTTAAAGATAGCAGTCCCCCTCAACGCTATGATCCCTCAATTGCCTGCGCTATCCCCGTCACCACTAATCCCAACATCACTATACTAGGAAAGACACACCACCGTCGATAATATGACACGTGTTTCGCCTCTACACGAAGCATCCTCAACTGAAATAGTCTACGGTGGCTGACCGCTACTCCGTTTACTGATAGTTCTTAGAAATCTGACGCAGGACACAAAGCTTTGACAGCGTGAGTCAACGCAGGAAAACATCTTCGCTCAAAATGGGGTCAAGAGCAACCTCTTACGCCAACATAACATGACAATGTTCATTGTGTTTTGTTTGCAATTAACAGAGGCACATTCTCATAATGGAGTGGTATTTTTAACAATGAGCACTTTCTATATATGTA